CCACAATAGCTTTAATAGAGAGGAAGGAGTGCACTTCTGTGTGAGACACCACGGCTCCTAACCATATTCACCGCGGCGCCCAAGCTATCCCAAAGGAGCCCCTGTTCGGTGTAATCCGCCGTGGGCCTATGATCACACACGCCTCAGTGCCAAAGCTACTTCCAGGAAAGCCATTCTATGTAATCCGCCACGGTGGATGACAACATACGTCGCGGCGCCTGACCCTCGCAGCTGTGCGTTTTATGATGTAAATTAAAAATTAGGGCATATACAGGGGGAGACTCGGTTTTGCCATACACACTTCGGCTTTGGGCAATTTTAGAGGCTTGCTATGCTAGGGTTTAAAGCTTTAGAGGCTTGAAATCTTTGGGCTCGAAGCTAGAGAGATTTGAAGATTTTTACTCGATTTTTCTGGGTTTCCTTCTTCTTCCCTTCTTGTTTCTGTAATGGCTAATAGCTATTCTATAGTTGTGACTTCTTACTAAACATGTATAGCTAAATCAGTTTTTCTAAGGTTATTTTGATCTATTATATGGATTGAGACTTGGATTTACTATCTCTTGAGTATTAATGATAATATTCAGTTGTTTTTACCTTGTGCTTAATGCTTCCTTGTGACTGGCCATCATTAGGATTGATTGTTTGATTAGTTTAAACTTGAGATAGTTAAATTAATCTGTGAACTATTGATAAAAATGTGCTAGTCAAGAAATTTAACTGAGTAAATAGACGGTTTGTTAATAGAACATAAATGTATCTGTCAACCTAGCATAGACATGTTGACAAAGGGAGAATAACCTTTTCTTTAGATAAAGGTTAAAAATTATCTTTATTGTAATCATGGTGATTGGATTCTATAAGCAACTAAATACTACTCAATTTCTATTTACATGTCACTTGTATAGAAAAAAATTGTTTTTAAATATAAGTTGCTTGTAGAGCATAATTAATGAGCTTTCTCCAATTTTACTCTTACTGATTTAATAAATACAAAGAGAGATAAAGTAAATAAGTGAGAAAAACTATAAAATATATCTTTAGTACCCTTTCTTGAATAAGGACAAATATGAAAAAAAAAATTAATACATTTATTGATCTGTGGGCTTAGAATACAAGCCACTTATAGATAGGAATAGACTGCGAGGGAAAAGATAAATACGAACCTAATCTATTAAAAGCCTGCCTATAATCATTAATGCCATAAGAAGCTGGACTCACCTAAAGTCGTTGCCTCGTTGGGTTCCGAACGGGTAACTTCTCCAAAAACTTTGTAATGAAGAAGAAGACGGTGAGAAAAACAGCGAAAAATAAAAATGGAAAACAACATGAAGGTGGGGATGAAAGAGAGTGAGCAGCGAGCAGACCTTGAAAAATGAGGAAGAATGAACAAAAACCCCACCTTTGAAACCTCTCGTCTCATCCTCTTCTTATTCCTTGAATTTTTCCGTTCAAATCAAGCAATTAATACTAGGTCATTGTTATGTTGAGCGCTTTTAAGACATATTTTTAGCAATCTCACCCAAGGTCATAAAGGCATCCCAGAAATTTCTTCCTTAAACCTGTAATTAGGCTTCTTTTATTTTGGCAAAAGTGGAGCTACCATTGGCAGCGACCCGCTCAACGAGGCAGACAGAAACAAGAGAAATAAAGAAACAGCGGACTGCCTCAAGAAAGTAAAAAAGAGGAAATGAAGAGAGAGAGAAGGGATGATGAAAGTATATATGAAACAATGAGCGTGGTGGAAAATTTTGAAACTTGAAACTCAAGTCTATCATTGTCATCAAATAATCTTGCAGCACTCCCCATACGTGAGCCAGAAGTTCTCTAGTATAAGCTGTCGCCGTTGTTGTGAACAATTAAAGAAGAGAGGAATAGTTTGGATGTGTGAGTTGGCTCGGCTAAAATGATTGTATCATATATATGTTATACTGATTTTTTTTTATCTCTATCAAAATGTTTTCAGCCAAGCATACCTACGTGGCCTGAGATCTGTGGAATCCGGGAAAAAAATTCTGATAAAAAAGATGAATTTTATAAAAAGTAGAAAATTATACAACTAAAGTTGGAATAACAGAAACAAGGGAATGAAAAGTTAACACAATATCAGTTTTAAAAGAGTAGCAGCTAGAAAAAGAGTAAAGCAGTGAAAACATCTTTTTGTAACGTGCCAATATTGAAATTTGAATGGACAAAAGGATCATTGGGCAAATTCTTCTGGCATGTGATGACATTGATATGATTCAAGAATGTTGAAAAAGTTGGCTCAACTTGAGTAACCCAATGCAACATTAGTTTCAAACAAGAAAGGCAAAACAGAAAAGGATATAAAGATTGAAGTTTCACCTATCTGAAAGTCTATATTTCTTTACAACCAAGAAAAATTGTGGTAATACAAGAGGCATGTCTTTGAATCTTAACCTTGCACATGAATATTGTCCAGTGCTATGCAAATCTGCGAATGTTCTGAATGCAGTCGGAGTTTAGGTAGAAAAGGAAGAGATAGGAGTTGAAGGAGGAGCTTCAGAATTACTTGAAAGATATTTCTAATTATAAATTTTTATTAGGTATTGAAAATAGTCTTGGAAATTTTAAATGACTTGTTCTGGATTGTTTATACAACCTTTATGAACAGTCACATTTTGCTTAGTCCAAAACAAATTAACAAAACGCCATATAAGATGAGGCTTATATAGTTCGGTAATCAAACTATGCTCTCTTTTTCCTTTTTTCCCCTTTTTGGTTTTGGTTTAGACGGGCCGAAGCCCAATACAGAAACAACAAACTAAATAGAAACCAGTTGTGGGCTTGAAATGCCCTGTTAGGATACGCCACAAGTCAGTTATAGTTATGTATGGTCTCACGTTAGGAAAAATCAGCATACTTACAATAAATAAATTAAATGATAAATTTTAGTATAAGAAATGATAACAATATCTATAATGCTTACTTATCATTGAGACATTTTAGTAATTGCAGTTATTTCTCGGGACCTCATAACGATTTGCCCTGGAACTTAATCATAGCTGTAGTATTGTTAACACTTTGTCACTTTTAGCCTATAAATACAGAACATGGTTCAGGAATTAAATCAAGTCACTTGGTCCATTCACCCGGATTACTCATATCTTCACTTGGTATCATTCAGCTGCAGATTTTTTTATTTTTTTTTTTTCTGGAGGGGAGTATGAAAAGAGAGGAAGTTTGAGATGGGTGGTTAATTTCCTTGAAATTTCGATCGATGGTGATGTTGGCATACAATTTCCTCGGAGGGCCCTTTATGGCTTTAATTTATGAGACTTTTGTGGGGATTTAGTACATAGCATGATAAATATAACAACAAATGACGCAAGTGATATTTATAGCTTGTCTTGTTAACGTGGTCATCTGTTTCCGCGGACAAAAGACAAAATTAAGCTTGACTTTTTGCGGCGAACATTAACTTGTTGTGGCAGTAACGAGACTTTTTTTATCTTGGCCTGAGCTGAAGTTACCAGATTGAAGACGTAAAGGCCAAGGCATATTTGGTTGGAAAATAATACAGGGAAAGTGAAGGGAAAACGTTTGCGTCCCTTTGAAAATTAGTTTATTATCAGTAAAAGAAAAGCAAAATAATAAAAATATGTTCAACTGATCTGTTCAAGATTTTCAATTTTCCTTAACAATAATGATTTTAGGTTTTCTCATATTGATATAGGTTTTCACTTGATGGCAGCTAGTTAGCACAAATGGGAGATTCCATCTAATTTCAAAAACTCGCTCCGCACTTTATCTTGAGCAAAGTAATAATTCATTGACTCTCTTTATGTGCTGCTGATCGATTTGTGTCATGAGTAGATACGGTTAATTTTCAAGTTTGCAGAAACAGTCTAAACTCTTTTTTAACTCTTTAGGACCCATTTTATAGTGTAACTTACATTTAGAATCAGAAGAGTAGATATGTTCTTTTCTATTATTAAATCCATTATATACTTTGCTGTGTACAGATGTAATATTTTTCTCCACAATAAAGTAATGCAAATTAGTCACAAGAAAAGGAGAGAAAAAAAGAATCTACACATGGTATGATAGGCCTTGTTAACTCTTAACAACAAACATGAATACTACAAACCTAACTAACGAACGGGCACCGCAAAAATGGCCTGCCATCACTCTATACAAACACACTTACACAGGCAATGTTTTATTATCTGCTTCATTTTCTGCAGATCCAATATTTTTTGTGTCTGCAGAACATTCGTTGTCAACATTTCTGGTAGAAGTTTCCTCTAATGGATTAATTCTTGTTGAATTCGGACTCAAAAATTGTTGGCTATAAGTCTTTGCGAGCATAACAGGTTTTCGCCATATATGATTTTCAGAGACTGCTAAAGCCAACAATGAAAATGTTCCAATTACCATAAACAAACCTGCAAAACTATAAGCAGTAAGACTGGGACTCGCATTTGATGATGAATTTGATTGATCTTTGTTTCCATCGTCATCGCTGCTTCCAAAATATCTCTCCTCAATGCCGTCCATTTCATTACTCTCCCTAATATTTAATATGGCTTTCGAAAAGTGCGAGGTTAAGTTGGAGCCCTTACGAAATGCCTGAAAAATCATTCAAATGATTCAACAGAGACATGTCAGAGACAGTAACCTTAAATATAAATGAGACAACAAGAGAAGCAAGAAAATGGAGATGGAAACTCACAAAACCAAATCCAGCAGCATGGTGCTTAGTTGAAACCACGGCATAATTGGAGCCATACTGTTTGAGGAAGGCCTTAAAGTAGGGAGCTTCATCAAAAATGGCATCGACACCACCATTATGGCTTCCTTTGTCTAAGGCTTCCTTATAGTCTTTAATGGAGGAGTAGTTCTTCACCTTGAACTATTGATCATCAAGTTATCAACCAATAAGTCCCTCACAAATGAGCCACTGTGGTATCCAACATTAATGTTGGAATCTTCTGCAACATCATTCTCACTAAGGTATCGAGGTTGTAATTGATGTACCGTTAAGATAGATGATAAGCATGCTGTGTAGCTTTGCATGAGCACAAATACCAATATCAACCACATCACCAGCACAAACCTAGAGCAATTTTTGGCCAGTGATTCTCCTGCAAATAGTAAACAAATGAAAATTTTGAAGACTAAATAGTAATTAAACGAATAACATCGAGGACACAAACCTATATATGCGCATATATATATATATATAGAGAGAGAGAGAGAACAAGGTTTAATACTCACTTTCGGGAAAAACTGCTTGCACAACAGGAAGCCACAGGATAGAAACCCCACTGAATTTTTTCCTGCATGATGAATTTTCAAGTGTCGAATCTCTTCTGACATTACGTTCCATGAATATTATGATACCTCCTATAAAAACAGAGAAGATAGCAATAGACAACCAAAGACTCCAATTAAACGGTCGTACAAAAATCCACATGTTCAACCGTGGATCATGCCGGATTTTCACAAGCATCTTCACATTAGATTGTGTATATGGCAACGTGAAATCTGCATGGTTAAACCGATTTTCCAAAATCGTCACGTCTCCCACCACAGCGTCATACTATTCATTGGAAAAAAGATAGCCGTTAATGTCTGTGTGTGCATTCATGGTTATGACACTAAATAGAATGAAGGATATAAATTGAGAACACCAGCAAATAGTGAAGAACATTGACATTCTGCAAGTTTGAATAACATCTCACCTTTTCTGCAGAAATTTGGGAGACAAGTGCGTCATAATACCCAGCACTGCTTCCATTGTTGTTTACGAAAGCTCTAAACTCGAAAGAAATACCGTGATGTAAACGCGTAAGGTAGGCTATTGTAGCATTGAAGACGGCAATAGAATAGCCGCTAGCCTGGACGACCTGATTATTGTTATTAGTAGGATCGATTTGTACATCCACAAACTGGGCGAAACCTGATTTATAATAAGGAAGTCCAATTATCAACTTCTTCCCTCCATCATCATCTCCAGCACCAGTCGGAGCTATTAGCAACACAACACAAGAAATCATCATGAGGAAGCCATAGCGATTGTAATTGGGTTCGCCATCTCATAAAAGTGCTGTATATGTGCGGCAGGATACTGAAGAAAAATGAAGAAGCTAGTGCTAGTCAGTTCTGAGTTCTTAATGGGTGCCACCTTCGTTTTATTTATATGCTTTTGTCCCTAATGAATGTGCGTATGAACTTAACGGTATGTCGGTGATTATTCACTAGAGAGACTTGGTCTGAAAGAAAGCCTAAGCTTGCTTTGATTGATTCAAGCCTCGAATGTTCCAGTCCACCTGTCTCGTTTCGCTAGCATACACGGAAGGATGTAACTGGGAAATTTTCAGAAAGACCAGATATTTCCTCTTTGAATAGTTTTCGCCATCGTTTTAAAATACGGCATGAAATAATTATTTTGTAAATAAAAAGTTAATTTGAATAGTAAATTGAATTTATATTTTTTTGACAACGAATTTATATTATTTAAAATTCTTATTAAGTTTTCGTTGGCAAAATAAAATCCTTAAGTTTTGAATTTATTTCTATTTTAAAAATAATAATTAAAAGGCAGTATTTCAAAAATAAATGCACATAATTTAATTTAATTAATTTAATTTTAATCGGAATAGTCTAAACTAGACGTGGAGTTGCATGTTTGCAAATTCATCTAGACCATTCATTTTAGGAGATTTCTCAGCAACTTCGTTGTAGTCTTCGAGTGAATTTGTCCTGAGTGAAGCGGGGGGGCTCTCTTGGACTCTCAAACCAAGAATATGATGCAGTAGTACGTGGATGGGGGGATCTTTGAACAGATCCTCGAATCTGAATCCTACCGAACGACCTTTGACCAGTTCAACATACACCGATCGTTGGAAAGGACTGAATTCCTATTTTGACCAAAGGACAAAGACGCCACCAAATGATTCTATTTCTAGCCCCCGTTTAGTTAATTACTTTCCCTGTATTTATTTATAAGTTTTAAATTTGAAAAGACATGTGGTTTATTTTATGAGTTTTAATTTGTTTTGTCTTAACATTTAATATATTTTTTCAGTATTATCCTTACTTATTTCTCTTTTATCGCATTTTCCCACATGTTTTTTTTATTCTTTTTCTCATTTATTATAAGAATATATTTGAAAACAAAAATCTATTTCTAACCCGTTTACTGTTTTAAACTAATTATTTTTATCCGTAAATTAGTTTTTTTTTTGTCAAAGTTATCTGTAAATTAGTTACTTGAAGTTTATAATGAAGACTAGAAGGAGTACTTTTAACATGAAGAGCTTAATCTAATATAATGGCTTGTTTCATCTAATTAATGCACGCGCATGCATGATGACTGATTAGTTTGAGTTTTAATTGTGTAGTAAAAATTATTTAAAAAAAATTGACATCTTTTACTATATGTCTATATCAATGAAAAAAAAAACCGGACCGGACCGGCCGGTTCAACCGGAAAACCGGTCCAAAGTCCGGTCTGGTTTAACAAGAAAACTGGTCACCAAGTGAACTAGTAATAAACCGGTCAACCGCCCGGTTTGGGGGGTTGACCAGTTATATATTTTTCTCCTCAAACTGCCCAAAACGAACGTCATATCATATTAAAAAAAAAATTTTGGGACGCTGTCGTTCGATCCTACACTCGACCGATCGGTCGAATGCCCGGTTCCCCCATTCCCTCCTTCGTCCTGGCTTGGCAGATGAGCAGATCGCACATCGCAGATCCCTTCCCCCATTCCCATCGTCCTTCATTTCGCTAAGTAACTGAGTTTGAGCGTCCGGCCGTTCTCCCTTGCAGCGCCGTCGACTTGCCGTGGAGAGTGGAGACAGCGGTGCCGTGGAGAGTGGAGACAGCGCCGTCGACTTGTGGTGGAGGTGGAGGCGCGGTGGTCTGGTGTCCGTATTCGGCATTTCCTTCTTCGTTGAGTTTGGTTCAGTGGTCGACTGGTGTCCCTGCGTCGCTAATTTGTCCTGGAGAGTGGAGAAGCAGTGCCGGTGGGTTTTGCTCTGCTCGTTGAGTTTGGTGGTCAATCGATGTCCGTATTCGGCATTTTTTGCTCATTGAGTGGTCGACCGGTGTCCCTGCGCCGCTGATTTGCCGTGGAGAGTGGAGAAGCGGTGCTGGTGGGTGTTGCTCTGCGCCTCTGCTCGTTGAGTTTGGTGGTCACAGGTTGCTCTGCGCCGCTGATTTGCCGCTAATTTATTGAATACCGGTACTTAACTATTCATTAATTGATTTTATTCACTAATTGCTATGCTGAACAGAAGTGAAATTAGAACAAATAAACAATGTTAGAAGTATTTTGGCATGTTGGCTGATCTTAATGTTGTGGACCGACCAGTAGTTTTGCTTCTACCATTCTATGGATTAATATGATTCTTTATGATGATTGGAAATATTTTGGCATGTTGGCTGATATTGATGTTGTGGTTGTGGACCAGACGACCAGTAGTTTGTATTTGACAATTCTAGTTCTACCTTTCACTGAATGTTCCTAATTCTGGTTGTGCCTTTCACCGAATATTGATGTTGTGTTGGCTGATATTCTGGTTCTGCCTTTCACTGAATATTGATGTTGTGTACTTGTGTTCCTAATTCTAGTTCTGCCTTTCATTGCATATTCCAAATTTGTGTTTTGAAGTGGTTCCTGAAAGGCTGAAGCTTGTGGCTCTATTGTTTGTGTTTGATCATTTTTATTAATTTTTGATTTGTTATTTAATAGCAGTTATGGATATTCCAAACAATCAAAGTTCTGGAAATGAAAATGTCACTCAATCTTCCACTCCTAATACTGAAACCTCTTCTCCCACCCCGACTTCTTCATTGCGTGGTAAATCTGATCCTGCATGGGCACATGTTGCCTACAAAAAAGAGGGGACACAAACTACATATACATATCTTTTTTGTGGTAATAATTATAGAGGAGGTGGGATAAACAGAATGAAACAACATCTTGCTGGTGTTACTGGTCAAATAGCTTCATGCAAAAAAGTTTCACATGATGTGCGTCATAGAATGATAGAGTCTTTGAAAGAATGTTCAAAGAAAAAGGCTGTTGAAACATAGAAGAGGACCTAGAAGAAACCCATGTTGATTCTCCAATTACTATGAGTAGTGGGACGAAGAGGAGAGCTCCTGGGAGTTTGGACAATTACTTTGCTCCTAGGACAGCTTCTGATTTCCAACCAGGCATTAAAAGTGCATTAGCAACCAAAGAAGCAAAACACAATGTGAAAATGTTGATTGCTGAATGGGCCATTGTAAACTGTATTCCATTCAAGGCATTTAATTGCCCTTTATTTCAAAAAGCTGTGGATGGTATTGCTTCAATTGGGCCTGGGTTTAAAGCTCCTAGTGCTTATGATTTCAAAACTAATTTATTGAGTGATTGGAGAAAAGAATGTCAGTTACTCATTGAGAGCCATCGAGCTAAATGGAAAAACAATGGTTGCACACTCATGGCTGATGGATGGACTGACATTAGATAACGGACTTTGATAAACTTTTGGTGTATTCTACACATGGTATGGTGTTTGTGAAGTCTGTTGATGCATCAGATTTAGTCAAAGATGCCAAAACTCTATTTACTCTATTCTGTGAAGTCATTGAGTGGGTTGGTCCTAAGAACATTGTCCATGTAGTGACTGACAATGCAGCCAATTATGTAGCATGTGGTAGGCTGATTAAGGAAAGTATAAAATATTTATTGTCGCCTTGTGCTGCTCATTGTTTGAATCTTGTATTGAAAGACTTTTCCAGCATGCCTCATGTGTCAGACCTTGCTTCAAAAGCCTCAAAGATAACAATTTTTGCATACAACCATATGGTTTTCCTATCATGGTTGAGGAAAAGATCGAGTTGGAAAGAAATTGTACGTCCTGGTGCCACAAGATTTGCTACTACATTTATTACGTTGCATAGTATATATATGCACAAAAATGACTTGCAAGCTCTAGTTGTTGATAAGCATTTTGTGGATCACAAATTATCCAGGACTGAGGCAGGAAAAATTTTTAGTGCCCTCATATTAGATAATCGGTTTTGGAATGATTGTTATCAAGTTGTGAAGATTGTGTCGCCTCTCATAAAGTTGTTGAGAATTGTGGATTCAGATGAGAAGCCTTCATTGCCTTATGTTTATGAAGGCATGCGAAGGGCAAAAGTGGCGATTAAAGAGATGTTTAAAAGGAACAAGGAGTTGTATAAGCCCTACACAAGCATCATTCAAGCTCGATGGGACAGGCATTTGAAGACTAATCTTCATGCAACATCATATTTGTTGAATTCTACAATCATATATGATCCAGACTGTCCTAGTAAGTCAAAGTTAATGATGGCGTTGATTGATGTGGAGTCTTACTCAGATGAAGATGTTGATGGTTTTCTGGTAATGAAACAAGCAACTACTTATCGTGAAGGCAAGGAATCTTTTAGTAGACCCTCATGTCAGAAAGCTGCACAAAAATTAGACCCTTGTAAGTGTTAATACTTTATAGTATATTCATAGTTATTTACTAATTCTTATACTATTGTATACGAAATGTATTTTATTATGTAGATGAATAGTGGACATATTATGGTTGTTCAGTTCCAGAATTGCAGCGTGTTGCAATGCGTATTCTTAGTCAAACTTCTGCTTCTTCTGGTTGTGAGAGGAATTGGAGTTTGTTTGAAAGAATTCATACAAAAAGAAGAAACAGATTGGAACATAAGAGGTTGAATGATTTGGTGTTCACAAACTACAATCTGCGGTTGAAGCATAAGTAATCTTGAAAATAATGAATACTTTTAGTCTTTTATTTTAATTGATTTATGTTTAACTGAAGTTTTACTTGTCATTAAAGGAGTACATTGAAGAAGAAGAAAAGTTATGATCCAATTGACTATGAAAATATTGACATGGTGGACTTTTGGGTGGCTGAAGAAGATCCCACTCCAGAGTTTGATGATAGAGATGTGGCTACACTTGAAAGTGTCATTAACAATGAAAGCATTGCAAATTCAACAACTCTTGAGAGGGATAACGAAGATTTATATATATAATTAACACTCTATTCTTAGATGAATATAATTATTTGCATAATCATTAATATTGCTTATTGTCTTACATAGGTGATGAAGATATGGATATTGCTGATCCTCCACCTTTGCATGATGATGTTGTCACTCCTAGTGTTCCTTGTCCAACTGTTGATGTCTTGGTCCATGCCATTGCCAATGACTTTAATGATGATTTTGATTTTCCATAGCGATGAAGATATGTAGTTTATTAATGTTTGCTTGGTACAATGAAATATTTAAACTACTTTTGTAATTTTTTATCTTTTTTCAACTAATTATTATTTATGAATTTTATTCTATTTTAATGTTATGAATTAAATTATATTATTTTAATATGACCGGTCCAATCCCGGTTCGATCCCGGTCCGACTAGTGACCCTTGACCCACTGTCTCGACCGATTTAGTCTCCGGTCCGGTTTTTTGTTCCTTGGTCTATATATAGCCTATAGGGAAGAGAATTAAAAAGAGTCAAAACATTTGAATCCATGACTTTAGACTTAGCTTTAAACCTGGGCGAAATCTTCCGAGTAAATTTGTACCTTAGATCTTTGTTTTTTCAAAAGTAAAATTTACTTTTGAAAAACAAAGATCTAAGGTACAAATTTTAATAAAATTTCAATATTTTAAATTAAATGGATATAAAATTATACAATATTAAAATGTAAGTATTATAATACAATAAAATTAAAATTTATGGTTAAATCTAAAATATTGAAATTTATTAATATTCGAATTTGAGAGAGTGTGTTTATTTGAGGAAACTGGATCTCCTTCTCTGTCTCCACATTCGATAGGGTCCAGAATATATAACATCAACAATATACTCTTTTGATTGAAGTTGTAAATAAAAGCAGCGACTCAATCATTACGCATCTCCACAAACCCGAAAGAATATATTAGAATAGACAATGAAGTTACATACTGAATGATTAGAAAGTGGTTTAACTTAGAAACATATAAGCTTCATATGAGTCTAAATAAATGGGTTAAGCTATTTTGGTGAGATAGAGAGATCTAGCGTACATCTTCCACGTCATGCACTTCATCTGTTTGTTGGTTGTTTGTTTTATCTTTCTTCATTGATGAGTTAACGTACCCTCCCTTAATTGACTTGCTTTCTCAGAATATCGAACCACCAATGTTTTGCTGCGAGTTTTTGCCAACATCATCGGTTTTCTCCAAATAATGAACAGACCTCCAAAATTATGCATCGCGGTGAGACGAGTACTCGTATTCTTAGACCCAGACCCCTTATTTTGTTCTAGGACTTCATCTTCATCGCTACTTCCAAAATATATTGATGTTAGAATCTCTTGTAATGTCATTCTCACTAGGGTAATTAGTTGCAACTCGTATATTATCAAATACGCCGGATGACAAGGATGCTTTGTAAATTTGCATTAGCACAAAAGCTAGTATCATTCACATAATTAAGCAATACGAACCTAGAGCTTTTTGGTTGTTGTTGATATCCTAGAGCAATTGTTAGTAGCCAATTAGTTCTGCATATTAAATAGTAAAGAAACTTTCAGATTTGACTTTTACTTTAGGAATACTAGATAGGAAGATATATCAAAGTCATACACGCGGCTTACAGGTGATCGTATATTTTGTCACCTATTTTTTGTTATATTTAATGGGGATAAAATTTTAAAAAAAATCATTAATTTAATTATCTGTAAGACACTTAAGGCAAGAGTGGTGTATGATTTCTCTTGTATCTTTAAATTACACAAAGGCCCTTATTAAACATGAATCCGCCTTTGTTTCCATGAAATAAAGCTTCCCTTTTGAGTTATGAATAATGGTTGTTAGTCAGGGCCCTTGATTCGTCAAGGTCACCAAAGTCCGTCAAAAATTAATAATTTCAAGGAAGTGCTGCAGCTGGTCCCAAGCTTTCCAAAGAGCAACTTGCCTATTATATAATATTAAAATGTACATGTTATAAAGCAATAAAAAGTTCTACTTAAAAATAAAATATTGAAATGCATTAATATTCTACTTTGAGAGATTTCGATCCAAATAATTTAATTTAATCATGTCGAATTTTAGAATAATTTCGTAGATGTGAAAGCAGAAGAAAATAGTCAAAATTATACAAGTCACAGAGAGCGGGTCATTCAATACCCGTCAAAGGGTGCAGTTAACGGTTATATTTTCTAAAAAGTCTGTCACACGCATACATAGGCGTATGACATGGATGAAAATGCATATTTACTCCTTTAATTTTGTATAAGAATTTATCTTGGAAGAACTGGAAAGAGTTTTTAATTAAAAATTTTATTGATGAGAATTACCCAATTAATTTTCATACAAAAAGAGTACCGAGGCTCTACAAATTTTGAATATATAGAGTGCTAACATATTCTGATTTAAACCCCTTCTTATCAATAAAATTTTCCGCGAAAAACTTCTACTCAATTATTTTATTTTATTTTTTAATTTTATAAAATATATTTTCAATCTTCCAACCTGAATGTTTCACCATCAAAAAATGTTAACATAAAAAAATAATAAGAATTAAGTATATATAATATTGCCCCCAAACTTAGAATTTTTTATCCACCGTATGTATATTACTTCTAATATAAAAAAAAGTAAGGGAAATAACTCAAACTCAAGCCTTGAGAAAAACTCCAAAAAAGGGGGAAAAAGGGTTAATAAAATTTTTACCCTTAAAGTTTGCTCTCATTTTAGTTTTGGCCTATCAAGTTCCAAATCATACATTTTCATCCTTTAAAAGACAAAATAGACCAAGTTTTTATTGAATTATAGAGATCAATAGTTAAATGAAAAGAAACTTGATGGATCAAAATTTATGATTTAAAATTTGAGGAACCCAAAATTATATTACTCCGAGAGAAAATTATACATATGGATTTCATAGGCACAATAAGCTCCAAAAACATAATTTGAACATTCCCACTTAATTGACTACTTCACTGTAAAATCTTAACTGCTGAGATAATCTACCATCACTGTATACTTTACAGTTACACAGGCAATGTTTGGGTATCCCCACATGTAAGAGATGCTATAGACAGTTTTCCTTGGTCATCTGCTCTGTCTTCTGATATATTTTCTTCTCTATCAACATTATTTCTTCTTGTCGTAGAACCTTCCTCTAATGGATTGGTTCTTGTGAACCTCCGACTCAAGAATCTTTGGATATACATTTTTGCTGCTATAATAGGTTTTTGCCAAATACGACTTTCAGAGACTATCAAAGCTGACAGTGAAAAAACTCCAATTAACATGAACAAACCTGCAAAGCTATAAGTAGTGAGGCTGCTTGAACTTGCATCATCTAACGATGAATTAGATGGGCTTTGGCCTTCATCGTTGTTACTGCTTCCAAAATATTTATGCTCAATGTCATCCATTTCTGGACTCTCGCGCACATTCAATATGGCTCTGGAAAAGTGTGAAGTTAATGTGGAGCCTTTGGGGAATGCCTGAAAAAATCGATAGATATGTTACAACACTCTTGATAACAAAAACAAAATCTAATGAATAAGAGATGGAAACTCACGAAACCAAATCCATCAGTGCGGTGCCTAGTTTCAATCATGGCATAATTAGAACCGTATTCTTTGAGGAACACTTTGATGTAGGGAACTTCATAAAAAATAGCATCAACACCACCTTTACGGCTTCCTTTATCTAAGAACTCCTTATATTGTTCCATGGTGGAATATTTCTTCACCCTTGACTTGTGAACTTTTAATCTCTCCAGCAACAAGCCTTTGACGGCAGAGCCCCCATAATATCCAATGTTAATGTTGGGGTCATTAATAACATCATACTCACTTAGGTAACGAGGTTGCAGCTGATGTACTGTCAAGATTGATGACAAGCATGCTGTGTAGCTTTGCATTAGCACAAATGCTAATATCAACCACAACACAAGCACAAACCTAGAGCAGTTCTTGGCCAATGATTCTTCTGCATATAGAAATTTAAATCCAAAACAATACAGTAAAAATATGGAGTAAACAAATTTTTTAGGAACAAATTATGTTAAATATGATGGCGATGAAACGAAAACTCACTTTCAGGAAGAACTGCTTGTACTACAGGAAACCATAGAATAGAAACCCCACTTAGTTGCTTCTTAAATGGCGAATTTTCAAGTCCTGAATCTTCCTTAACATTCCTTTCCATGAATAGTATGATACCTCCGACGAAAACACAGACGATGGCGATGGACAGCCACAGATCCCAACTAAAAGGTCGAATAAAGATCCACATATTCAAGCGTGGATCATGTCGAAGCTTCACAAGCATTTTCACATCAGATTGGGTATACGGCAAGGTAAAATCCACATAGTTGGAACGATTTGCCATAATTGTCACATCTCCCACCACAGCACCGTACTGATTATTACAAAAGGAAAAGGTCAGATATTCAAGCTATCATCACTGCGTATCAAGCTCTTGTTATGGCACCAAATAGAATGATTAGTAAAATCTGAACAACATGGACACGTTGTCTCCGCAAACCTTGTGCATGAACTTACTGCTGTTTAAAACCTCTGTAAATTCAATCCAAATCGGCAGGACTAGGGTCTACCTTTTTCCTTCTCCATTTTCATTTCATTAAACTTCAGAAGAGATCTTGGTCAAATCAACATTAAAATAAAGATTTATACAAGGCTGAATAGTCTCTAACCTTTCGTTTAGAGAGCTGGTCGAGGAGTGCGTCGTAATCCTCAACGCAACTTCCATCTTCGTCTGGGAAGGCCATATACTCGACGGAAATATTCTGAAGGGAGGCTATGGCAGCGTTGAAAATCTCAATGGAATAGCCCTGAGCCTTCTCCACCTGACTCTTATTTGTAGAATCCAGTTTTAAATCCACGAAAATATTTGTTAAGTCACATCTCTTAGGAACACCAACTATCAATTTCTTCCCTTCCAGGATTAGTGAACCTGCTTCATCACCAGCTCCAATCCGACCTATTAACAACAAAACTACAAACAATGTCATGGGAACGCACTGATCGCCAAAGAAATGGTAATTTGAGTTAGCCATCTCACAAAGTGCTATCGAAGTGGCAAGAAAATAACAAAAAATAAGAAGATAGTTTGGGTTCCTGAAGTCTGAAGCTGCTTCTCTTTTTCAAAAGCTGGGAACATAAATCTTTTAGGTGCACAAGTCTTCTCTGTGTTTAGTCAAAGAAAGACTTCCATCTTTGATTATGTGTGTTTGGTCCTAACAGTTCTTTTTAAAAGCATTTTAAAATACTTTCAAGCAAGTTGAGATAAAACTTCTCATATTTTCATCTTGAACTCTGTAAATTTTTAAAACCGTAGTTTGGTTTTTATCCAAAGATCCCTTACATCTACTATGCTAGCTTCAAACATGGATGTGGCTAAGTAATGATATAAAAACGTTTATTTTAGTTTTCTATACAGAAATATTCTAAAATAAAGATTGTATTTTAATATATATTTTAGTTTTATACAAAAATATTACAGTTTAGAAAGAAATAAAATTTAATCCGGATACTAAAAAATTAAATCAAAATGAAGGATGAATACCATTGCTTTGGAGATTTCGCAGCAACCACTATGTAATTTACGAATTTCAAAGCAATCGATTTGTTTTTTGGCCGATTTCAAAGCAGCTGATTTTTTTCCCCCCCTCGATGGAATGATTAAATTTATTTTACGAAGAAAAAGCGAAGAGGTTGAAATAGTCAAAATTTCTACGGGTCCTGAGAGAAGATAACCTCTTCCCTACTTTACTAACTTTGAGATTTTGAGAGTTTGAGGCTTTGACTTAATCTAATTTCTTATTCCATGACTTCTAGAGGAATAAATCTCTAAAAAATTTATATATTACCTTATCTCCTAAACTAATTTATTAAACGTAAATTCTTTGTTTTCATGAAATAAAACTATTAATGCTGCCTTATAAAAGTGATAATATAATGTCGCGGAAGTTCAGCGCAGCTGGTCCCATGCCTCCCAAAGAGGAATTGAACTTGCCTCTTAATAAAAGCTTCTTGCCACTGTGGAACGGATGACTTGACAACTCCTCACGTTGCCGGAAACGATATCTCTTTTTTCAAGAAAATACAAAATAGACGTCAACTCTAATACTATCATACCTATTATAAATTACGTATATATAAATTAAATGCTTATAATATATACAAAATTAACGTATCGAGCCGACATTTCTTAAACAGGATTAGAAAGCTTTTCTAGATTATACATTTTTATATAGAATTTATACACACACACACACTATATATATATGAGCGTGGCCGCATATGGAGGATGAGTTTTTTAATCAGATAGTAAAAATTAAAAAATAACATCTTTTATAGGAAAGATAATTAAGACGAGTCAAAATATTTGAATCCATGACTTGGGAGTTAGCTTTAAGCTTGAACCGGTCAAGTCTCCATCTAGAAAATTAGTTAAAAACAATAAATACTTTAGAAATATATTTTTGTTTTCAAATATGAGAAAAAAGAGGAAAAAATATATAGAAAAATGTGATAAGAGAGATTATGACAAGAGAGAATGAATAATTAAGGATAAAATAAGAAAAAGTGCATTAAATGTGAAGACAAACATGATAACCTCTCAAAGTTCCTACTTATTCAACTTGTTTTAGCACTCTTTTATTTGGTTTGGAAGTCAATTTTGTAGGAAAAAAGCCTGAAGCGAGTAAGGAATAGAGACCAGAAGCGGAGAGCTGAAAAGAGACCATTCGCCACGGCACATGGGAACAAACGCCATGGCAGCTCTAACAGAGAGGAAGGAGTGTACTTCTGTGTGAGGTGCCATGGCCCCTGACCATATTCGCCGCGGCGCCCAAGCTGTCCTGAAGGAGTCCTTGTTCGGTGATATCCGCCGCGGCCTATGATCACATGCGTCGCGGGGCCAAAGCCGTTCGCAGAAAGCCATTCTATATAATCTACCACGGTGGATGACCACATCCGCCGCAGCGCCTAACCCCTCGTAACTGTGCATTTTATGATGTAAATTAAAAGTTATGACATATAAAGAGAGAGACTCGGTTTTTCTGGAGACACTTTGACTTTGGGGCAATTTTGAAGGCTTGCTCTGCTAGGGTTTGGAACTTTGGAGGCTTGGAATCTTTGGGCTCGAAGCTAGAAGAGATTCGAAGCTTGTTACTCGATTTTTTTGGGTTTCCTTCTTCTTCCCTTCTTGTTTCTGCAATGACTACTGGCTATTCTTATAGTTGTAGTTTTTTACTCAACATGTATAGCTAAATCAGTTTTTCTAGGGTTATTTTAATCTATTGTATGGATTGAGACTTGATTTTACTATCTCTTGAATATTAATGATAATGTTCAGTTGTTTTTACCTTAAGCTTAATGCTTTCTTATGTCTGGTTATCATTTGGATTGATTGTTTGATTAATTTAACTTGAGAAAGTTAAGTTAATCTGTGAACTTTGGTAAAAACGTGCTAGTCCAGAAATTTAACGGAGTAAATAGACAGTTTGTTGATAGAACAGAGATGTATCTGTTAACCTAACATAGACTAAATGGGTTTTGGTTTTCAAAGTTGAACCTTTTCGAACAAATGCAAGAGATTACTATGTTTTATTGTGATTACAAACATTTGGTTTTGACTTGAGAAAGCTTAATCAATTCTGCAAACCCCGACTAACTGAACTTATTGTTAAGCACTACTTGAGAAGTGATTAATCTAGTTTTATGAAGTATTTTAGTGAAGAATAACCCTAGTCTCTTAATTGTTTCAAAGTCAAGTTGATTTTATACTGCCGTAAATCATTGCTTTCCTAATTTCATTTCACAAACTCTTTTACAACATTTGTCTCACTTAACCTAATCAAGAACAAAATCATGATTTTTAACTCATCTAGCCTTAGTCTCTGAGAGAACGATACTTTTTATATTACTTGTGACCCGTCCGCTTGCAGTTTAGCTAATCGGCGAACAAAACACCAAATTGAAGCTTATAAAATAGACCACACCGCTCCTCCAATTTGAAGCTTATAAATAGGACCGGAGGGAGTAGTAAACAAACATGACAGCAGGGAAAAATAGTCAAAATTCTAAGTCCCAGAGAGTGGGCCATTCAATATCCGTCATGGCATCAATGCCTTCTCTTATAATTAAATCACTATATTAACTTCCCCTGTCTTTGTTAGTGTGGGTATATGAAGAAATTGGATCTCCTTCCCCTCCCTCCCTCTCCCCCTCCCTCCCTCCCTCTCCCTCCCTCAATATGTGATAGTCCAGAATAATATCACTACAAATTTTTTTTAAGTTGCAAATAAAAGCAACAACTCAATCAATATGCAGTCTCCACATCCCCGAAAGAATATCTATTAAGTATATAATTGAGTTACACATTGTATGGCTAGAAAGTGGTTTAGGAACGTATGTATGAGCCCGAGGTGAGTCTAAATGAATGGCTTAAGCTATTTTGTGAGATGACAGAGAGATCTAGTGCACGTCTTCCACGTCATATACCTCAATTGTTTGTTGGTTATTTGATTTATTATCTTTGTTCATTGATGAGTTAAAGTCTCTTGTGATTGTAGAACCCTTCCTTAATTGACTTGCTTTCTTAGAATATCGAACCACCAATGTTTTGCTATAAGTTTTTGCCAACATCATCGGTTTTCTCCAAATACCACTTTCTGAAACTACCAAAGCCAAAAATGTTAGGCCTCCAATCACAATGAATAAACCTCCAAAACTATACGTGGTGAGACTAGTGCTGGTATTCTCAGACGACGACCCCTTATTTTGTTCTACGACTTCATCGTCATCTCTACTTCCAAAATATTTTCGTTCAATCTGCTCCATTGCGTCACTTTCAGTGACATTTAATATGGCTCTTGAAAAATACGAGGTTATGCTCGAGTTTTTTGGGAACGCCTGGAAGACAAATAGCATAATGTTAAAAGTCGGAATAATCAAGGCCCTACGAGTAGTTGATGTAAAGATCTTAATTTCATCACTAAAAATGTAGGAATTTAAGGGCCCAAGATGAAATTTCATTCTCAATAGATAATATGGCATATGTTTTTAATATATTTTGTAATATACTCCCTCCAGTCTATAGTATAAGATGTTGGTTAGAAAAAAATTATTGTTCAAAATATAAGAAGTTGTCAGGATAATTAATGTAATTTTTTCACTTATGCCCCTATTAAATATAGAAGAGAGAGGAGAGACAATAAAAATATAACATTAAGGGTAACTTTATCATTTTTTGGGGGGTTAAAATAGGAAAACTCTATTGTTTCAGAATAAACTTAATGACTAAATTTTCATCTCTTGATATGTGGGAAAAGTTAACTAACTTCTTATACTCATATAGGATTTAATCAATTTTAGTTCTGAATAGTATTGATATTAAAGTAGGGAAACAAAGAAACTTACGAAACCAAAACCGCCGGTGTGGTAACTAAGTCCGGACATGGCATAACTGGGACCACATTCCTTGAGGAAGACCTTAATATAGGGAGCTTCATCAAAAATAGCATCAACACCGCCATTTCTGCTTCCTTTGTCCAAGGCATCTTTGTATTCTTCGATGGTGCGGAAAGACTTTAGTCTTGATTCATCAAGCTTCAAGCGATCCACTAGCAAATCTCTGACAAATGAGTCACGTTGGTATCCAACGTTAATTTGAGGATCTCTCATGACATCATTAAGACCGATGTAATCAGGTTGTAATTGATCTACTGTCAGTATTGATGACAAGCTTGCTGTGTAGCTTTGCATGAGGATACCCGCTAATATCAACCACAACACCAACACAAACCTCGAACAATTCTTCACTAATGATTCTCCTATGAAATTAATTAAACAAATGTGTAAGTACAGACTTCGTACATATATATAGGATGATGCTTCTCATAAACTACAAAACAACAAGTAGAGATTTAGCATATGAGGACAAGAAGATTAAAATTTACTTTCAGGAAGAACTGCTTGTGTTAAAGGGAGCCACAAGAATGATACAGCTTTATTTAGTTGTTCTCTTGGTGGTGGTGGATTGCCGGGTCCTGCATTCTCATTATGGACATGACGTTCCATGAACCGTAAAGTACATCCTATAAAAATACTGAACATGACGATCGACAGCCAAAGATCCCAACTGAAAGGTCGTACGAAATTCCACATGTGCTTGTTCCAGTTCTGTTCTTGTCGAACTTTTACAAGCATTTTTACACCTGACTCTGCGTATGGTAGTGTAAGGTCTACATAATTTGATCGATTTGCCACAATCGTTACATCTCCCACCACAGCATCATACTTTTCATAAAAACAATGAATCAAACATTAAATTTATGTGCATATATATTATACATCGATCATTTAAAAAAGTGGCATTTCAATGTGGACAATCATGTCTCACCTGTCCAGGAATATTTTGAAGGAGTGTGTCGTAGGTTCCTGCGCTGCCTCCAATGTCGTTTACGAAAGCTCTAAATTCAACAGAAACATTGAAACCTATGTTCTGAAGGTGAGTTGTCGTAGCATTGAAAACCTCGATGGAGAAGCCAGTAACCTTCACCAACTGTTTATCACTTGGATTCACTTGTACATCTACAAATTGAGTGAAACCAGGTTTCTTAGGCACACCAATTATCAACTTCTTGCCCCCCAAAAGTGGGACTACGCCATCACATGTCCCAAGCTGAGCGATGAACCAAACAATAAAAGAAATGAGGCAGACGTAGTCATAGTAAGAAAACTTTGGTTTCGCCATAATCATCAGAATAAATGAAGGAATGGATTAGTGACTTAGTCTGAGTTCAAGTTCTTATACGAAGTAATCAGTGTGCTGCGTATATTCTTTCGTGTGCTGTAAAAACAACAGCAAAGGGAACTATGGCCCTTATTAGTTTGTTCAATTTTCTTTGTCTTTAGGCAAACAGAATAATTTTTCAGGTGAGACAAACCAATGAAGCAAAATATAGGATCTATTTGGTTGGACAGTAACACAAGTTTCTCAATTCATGTCCAGTGGGGCCAAATTTTTGTGGAAGATACTCCTCTGATCCTTAATATATAATCTAATTATTGAGTTGACTTTAGCCCTAAATATAATACCTATTTTTTATATTTATCAATTTTTTTTTAAATTACTCCTATGGATACTTCCTCAACCATCATCAAATAGAAGATGAATAAAGGATATTAAAAAAGATGACTATAGTGTTTTAAGAAAAACATGTCATATTTCTTATGATTAACTAACTTACCTAACTGCTTTAATATAATCAAATTAGTTAAATAGGTTTTATATTAAGGACCGGAGGAGTACTTTTTAATTTGTAGGAATATATTTGTGTGGTTTAGTGTCGGGGACCATTCGGGTGACAAACGTTTCTGAAATCTTATTGATTTGTTCGGGTGGATTTTGGGATGAAGCAGCTGCAAGTGACAGGGACCTAAAGATATATTTTGTAATTATATAAGATTTCCTTGTCAACAAATGGAAGCCCGTATCAAACGAATGAAAAGTCCTTCCTAGAGATGACACCGAAATTAAACATCATCTTAAAGCCTATAATTTGGTACTCCGCCGGTTCTTAATATAAGACCCAATTATTGAGTCAGTTTTGGTCCTAAATATAAGACTCATTTCTCATATTTATCAGTTTTCTCTAAATTACTCCTATGAATACTCCCTTAACCATAATCAACTAGAAGAGGAAGAGGGGGTATTAAGAAAGATTATTATAATATTTTAGGAAAAATGTATTACATTTTTTATAATTAACTAACTTACCTAACTTCTTTAATATAATCAAATTAGTTAAATGGGTCTTATATTAAAGACTGGAGGAATATTATGTTACTTGTAAGAATTTCTTTGAATTATAAGGTAAATTAATCCTGGAAAAAATCAGCATCTTGGAATAAAATGTGAAATTTCTCAATCATGTGTACTCAATTGATAATTTCTCAATCATGTGTACTCAATTGATAATTTGAACATTTTAAACGGAACAAAAAAAGGGTCGAATTAATTAGATGAAACACCATATATGCTGGCCTTCGAAGTCTATCTGTTCATGTTTTTCTCTTTTTGAACTCAAATTCATTTTGAACCGTCCGTTTGGCTTGGATTATAAAATAATTGCTTCTTTTTTCCCCTTGGAAGAGGAAATTAATATAACTTTTTATCCTATATTTGAAGATGAAATATTTTTATGACGGTTTGAGACAAGATTTGCATTAATATTAATTCTGTTCAAATCAAATATATATTTGGACAAAGATGTTGGATACGTAGGGCTAAATAATTGGAAGTAAGAATGAGTTGGATTGCGACATTGAGAAGACTTTTATCCGGGATGCTTCGGAGAAGCTAAGAGCAAAGTCAAAACCGTGTAATTAATTCCATAGTAGACATTACACCTGTAACGTCCTGAATTTATTTTAGGAACTAGAGATCTTACGAAGGCGTTAGAAGTTAGAACTAAGTATTGTAGGAAATCACTAACCTAATTGCATCATCACACCGTTATTAATTATAAGCTTCTAAACTTCCCATATGTTGATTAATTAAATTCTTAATCATAATTAAAGATGTATGAAGCAAGCCATAATCGGTGCCAGGTATCAAACTTGTCTTCATATTCTTTTGAGCACAGAAGCTCATCAGTAACAGCTGTCGACTACGTTCAAAATTAAATAAAGTTTTTTTATAGTTGTACAAAAAACTAATAATAAGTTATTAAATAAATACTTTATGATTAAATAGATCACTTAGTTATAATCGAGTGAAGTAAGCATTTGATCTGACATATTAATCTTGTATTTCTGACATTTTCAACATTAAAAATTGCCACGCGTTGGATATTTTTAGAGATCAATCTCAGTTTATTTCAAGACCATTCAAAAACAGAAACTAGTTTGCTTAGACGTATATTTAGGATAGAAAAGAGTAATATTTAAACTAATAAATAATCTATGTCCGTTAGCTATCTTTCTTGGTAATTTACTTAATTCTTTCCCGTGGTTGAACATCATCGGCTTGACTCGTTCATGAGAAACTACGAGTCAAACCGACCAAAATCTATAGTTCACATAAAGACACACACAATGCAGCGCTCGGTCGGCCCGATTATGGAAAACAGATTTTATGAAATTAACATTTGATTTTTTTGGCCAACGGAAATTAATATTTGAATTGATCAAATCCCAATGTTCCATCTCGATCCTATTAGTTTATTAGGCCTAATGAATTGATTTAGCTAGCGAGTGACCTAATTGTTTGACTTTTAATTTAATCTTCTTTTTTTTGGAAAAATATTAGGATAGATTTTTAGTTGTGTTACCAAATTTTTGAACAAAAATATATACACACACATGATAACATATGTACATGTTTTCTTTTTTATACCAGGCTTCTCTACGAATATAATTTACAGTTCAAGTTACTCGGTGTTTTACATACTCAGCTTTTTCAAGAATCATAAAGAGAAAAACAATATATATCTTTGGAGGAAAATAAAACTAATCATCTATATGTGTGTGAAATTTTATATATATATATATATATATCAAAAGGAAATAAGAGGCTACCCAGTGGCATACGTGAACGCTTAAATATGAGAGGCCATAGGCACAATCCGCCTGTAAGTCGTTAATACCTGCTACTTTAAATTATATTTAAAAAAAAACAAAAAGAGGAAAAACAAGAGTTAAAAAAAACGGAAAAGGTAGTACAATACCGGTACTACATAATATTAGCATATAATACATGTATCCGTTTCAGTCAGTTAGGTCAAAGTAGATGAGCTGTCAGCATTTGGTTCGTGCCACGTGTATTGTGGGTTTCTGTCCCTCACTCCTGTGTGATGTAAAAGGAAAGGATTTCTCCTCTTTCCTTCCCTTCTTTTCACCCCGTTTTTTTAAAAAACCATAACGTCAACAATTAAATGATTTCTATTTTATTTCTTTACAAAATGTTTGTTTTATTTTCTTTAATGAAGTTTGAAAGTATTCATATCAAATTTTAGTAGTATAAATTTAATTATTTATTTTTAATTTATAATTTAATACTTCATAATAATTTCATGAAAGATTAAACATGAATCATTCAATTGTAGAGATATAATGATTAGAAAAGTAGTGGAGGAGGGAAGAGGATGTGACAAGACCGAAGCATATTTTATGGATATCCTTGGTTTCTGGCATATAAATGTATAAAATATCTGGGATTTAACAAATCTGGAAACACAACTCACCAGCAATATCCTACTTTTCACATCCTACGTTAGCTCTAAATTCGAATCTCTATCGTCAAACCATTTACTCAGCAAAATCAACTACTGACTTGCGTACCACATTTTTTAATTTTATTAACCGTTATCTGTTTCCATCTGGTGAATCTGAAGCTGAAGTATCTATCGCAGCTGGAGAATCAGAGCTTGGATGAACAGTGTTATCTCTGGAACGTGTAGGAGTACTACCGAACAAATACTTCTCACTGTAAGCTCTAGCCATTGAAATGGGTTTTTGCCAAATAACACTTTCTGAGACTATCAGTGCCAAAACCGTAGCGATTCCAGTGACCAAGAAAAGCCCTTGAAAGCTATGAAAAGTAAGGTTCGTTGTAGTTGTTGATGACACTTGCCCAGTTTGATCTTGGACTCTTCCATTGTCATCATCCCCAAAATATTTCTTCTGAATACGATCCATTATATCACTCTCAGTCACATTCAAGATAGCTCTTGAAAAGTGAGAGGTTAGATTAGAGCCAAGCTGAAATGCCTGAAAATAAATAAAACTTGCAGTAAAATTTAATGGCGTAATTAATCTACCTTAAATGACTACCAAATAGATAAACCTTTATGTGAGAAAGAGACACTTACAAAACCAAAGCCATCTGCTCGATAGGTTGGTCCGGCCATCACGTAGTTGGATCCAAATTTATTAAGGTAAAGCTTAAGAAAAGGAATTTCGTCAAATATAGCTGCGACACCACCTCCCTGGCTTCCTTTTGATAAAGCTTGGTGATATTCAGAAAGGTTATCATAAGCCCTCAGCTTGGAGGGATCAAGCTTTAATCTGTTCACCAAAAGATCCCTTACGAAAGAATTAGCTTGATAGCCAACATAATAACCCCCTTTTCTAAGATCATTCACATTCAGAAAACTAGGCTGTAGCTGATCCACCGTTAGTATCGTTGTCAAGCTCGCAGTGTAACTCTGCATCAGCACGAAGGCTAATAATAGCCAAACCATCAACACAAATCTCGAACAGCTCTTGACTACAACCTCTCCTGAAAGTTGAACAATAGTTTGAACCATACTATATATGATGAAATGGAATAATCAATCAGAGGATATATGTGGATAAAGGAGTGAGTTTTAAAACTTACGATCAGGAAGCACGGCCTGTAATAATGGAAACCATAGAATGGTGACTACGTTGAGCTGTTTCGGTGAAGTAGTTTGGGATCCTCTTTCAGGCAAATTGTTCACATTTCGTTCCATGATTGATATGACGAAACCAATAGAGATAGAGGCGATGGCTATGCTAAGCCACAGGCCCCAACTGAAGGGTTTCACGAAAATCCACATGGTTCGGTGCCTCCCATGTTTGGCTGTTACTATCATCGATACTCCTGTCTCCGTGTATGGCAGCGTAAAATCCACAAACCTCGAACGGTTGGCCACGATCGTCACGTCTCCCACCACAGCATCGTACTGTGTTCCATGAAATTTCCAACAAGAAAATGGGAAATTTTATCATTCAGAAGGGAAAAAAGTTCTGTTTTAATGATCGATGGCTAGTTACCTTTTCAGGAATTTGCTGGATGAGGGAATCGTATGTGCCGGCGCTTTGTCCTGTTTGATTGACGTAGGGAATAAACTCAGGAGAAACCTTAAAGGGTAGGTGCTTTATTACGGCATTAAAGACATCAATGCAATATCCTCCAGAGACTTTGTACTTATTTTCACGAGGTTCCCATCGTACTTTCACGAATTGGGTGAAACCATCTTTCTTTGGTACGCCTATTCTCAGCAAATTGGGTGACCCATTCACAGTCTGGGAGTTTTGTAGCAGAAGAAGCTGCAAAAGAAGCCAGAAGAGAAGGCACTTCAAGGACTTAGCCATCTGACCACTACTCATGAGTTAACTGTCCTTTGGTTTTAAATTTGCTAATATATGCCTATATAAGGATTAGTTAAATATTTAAGGAAAATAGGAAAAACTTAAAACTTTGCAGTGGGAAATTATATACTGTGCCAATCCTTTTCTTGACCAATTCACATTTGGAATAATTAAAATAATCATCTTTATCAATTGGCCCACGCAAACGAGTAAATTTTGAAATAAAACATCATTTTTATTGGGCGGAAAGGCTGATTATAGTTATTTCGTAATAAAGTCAAGACACAAGTTACTGTTTCATGAATTAGTAATATATGCACGACGTGTTAGCATAATCGAGTCATCAACACGAATAGATACCTGAATATTCTTTATATGTGACGAAGAAATATCTGACTTTGGTACAGCATCATCTTTTTATGCTTTTAGCTAATAAAAAAAAATTCTCGAATGACGATTTTTCAATCTAATTATTTTTGTTTTGTAAAATTAAACTTAATTAACATATCAAGTTGTTAACACTTAGAATTGCAACATTGACCTTTTTGTTATTAAAATTGACAATGTTAGGATGATATTACTACAAATACATTTTATAAAATTAAGAGACTAAGTGTAAAAAATTATGGAACCTACATCGATTTTTTCCGAAAAAGTTATAATAAACAATTTAAATATTGTTATAGATGTATAAAAACTGTGTTTTAGTTTTCTTTTGGGCTTTGTCTGATTTTCATATTTATATATGAGCCCATGTTCGTATCCGCCCAGCTCAAGAAGTTCTACTTCGGCCCATGAGTTTATTTGGATGAATGTTAGCCCATAACATAGTAACGACAAAAGTTCAAATCCAACACAAATCCTATGGTGAAGTATCAGCATTTTTTCGGCATGTATCATAAATAATCCTCTTGCGAGGGACTTATTGAGATTGCCTTTCAATGACCTTAACTTAGAAAAAAAAAATGAAGAAAAAGAAAAAGGGGAAAAGTATATTTTACATTAAAATGTTCACATTAAATTCTAGAATTTTTGATGGAATTGACATATTACATATAATTAATTTTCCAAGGCATACAGGCATGACCATAGGGAGAGCAGGCTTCAGTTTCTTCAGTGTTCATCCGTGTTTTATGAGAGGGGACTTTATGCGGACAAGTAGTTATATACTACCAAAACGACGTGCTCTTATATACTGCCATGTTAATTTCCTTGAAACATCAGTTTTTGACTTGCTAACATATCGTTCAGAGAATTTAAGGGGACCATGCAAGGTAGAGATTAGGAAGGCCACATATTGATCTTTAAATATGCTTTACTTGAAATGTCGATGGTGTTGACTCTTTTTCATTTCCTGTGCTTCATTTCAACATTTTAATGGTGATGGGAAGGAGAAAACGATGTGTTCCAAATTGGAATTCTCAATTTCTAAAACGGGTGCTGCTTTTTTTTTTTTTTTTAACCAAAACAATAATTGCTTCTCTTTAACTTTCTTCATGCTTTTGCAGATTGATAAGTTTCTTCAAATTGCAAACTTGAGTATCAAACAAAAGCCTGGCGCAAATTTTAAACAAAAAAAAAATGAAACCAAGGGGGCAAAAAGAAAAAGAAATATACATGGTTTTCGTATACAACTTGACTATTACTACTTCACACAAACTGATTACTCTAAATCTTAAAACTTATTAGGAGTTGATCCGATATCACTACATACTAAATTAATTATCCAAGCAATGTCTTAGCTAAGTAGCCGCTTAAGGAAGAGATGCCACCAATATCTTTGCGTGGTTATAGTATCCATCTTCTGATCCAATATTTTCTCTGTTTATAGAACCTTCTCCATCCTCAACATTTCTTCTTGCTGTAGAACTTTCCTCTGACGGATTAATTCTTGTACAACTCCGACCCAACAATCCATTGCTATACATTTTCATTAGCATAACATGTCTTCTCCAAACACGATGTTCAGAGACTAACAAAGCTAGCAGTGAAAGAATTCCAAACACCACAAACAAACCTGCAAAGCTGTATGCGCTGAGGCTGGCACTATCACCATCTAACGATGAAGTAGATACGCCATCATTAGCGTCATGAGTTTTAAAATAGTTATCCTCGATGCAGTCCATTTCATTACTCTCGCTTACATTTAATATCGCTTGAGAGAAGTACGAGGTTAAGGTGGAATTCTTACGAAATGCCTGAAAAATTATTCCAAAACGCAGACATGTTACGAATAGCATTGAAATTTCCAACCATATCAGCAAACAAAAGTTCTGCATAACACACCAACGTATATATCCCAAAAGAAAATATAGAATGGAACTTACAAAGCCAAATCCACCAGTGCGGTGCCTAGGCCCAACCATGGCATAATTTGAACCATATTTCTTAAGGAAGACTTTCATGTAGGGAACTTCGTCAAAAATTGCATCGACGCCACCTTTACGGCTTCCTTTGTCCAAGGCCTCCTTGTAACTTTCGATGCCAGCGTATTCCTTCACCCTTGAACTATCAATCTTCAAGCTATCAACCAGTAAGCCGCGGATGAATGAGCCATAGTGGCATCCAACGTAAATGTTGGGATCTGTTCTAATTTCATACTCACTAGAAAAACGAGGTTGTAGCTGATGTACGGTCAAGATTGATGACAGGCATGCCGTGTAACTTTGCATCAGTACAAATACTAGAATCAGCCACATCACCAGCACAAACCTAGAACAATTTTTGGCCAATGATTCTCCTACCAATAGTACAGAAGTCAATTAATAAAGAAAAACAAATAGGAAGAAAGGGAGACATATTGAATCTTGCGTGTGCAAGGCTATGATACTTACTTTCAGGAAAAACCGCTTGCACTACGGGAAGCCACAAGATAGAAACCCCACTAAGTTGCTTTTTGATTGAAGAATTTTGGCGTGTTGAACCTTCCTGGACATTGCATTCCATGAATATTATGACAGCCCCCGTGAAAATACAAACCACGACAATGCATAACCACATGTCCCAGGTAAATGGTCGTACAAAAATCCACATATTCAAGCGTGGATCATGTCGACCTTTCACAAGCATCCTGAGGTCAGACTGTGCATATGGCAACGTAAAATCTACGAAGTTCGACCTGTTTGCCACGATCGTCAAATCCGCCACTGCAGCATCGTACTATTCATAAAAAGGAAAGTCGAATGTTCAAGTTAGAATCTTTATCTGAATTATGGTGAAGGATGAAATTCAAAACATCCTGTTGCTAAAATACCATCTCCTGTATTAATTATAAAACCTCTTTTTGTAGATTACAAACAAGATCTTATAATTAAGATCGGAGATAGTAGTGAAGAGGATGGATATTCTAAGCCTGAACCAAATTAACCTCGTCATACAGTCAGCTGGTCTGCAAGAACAATAGAAACAGATTTCTTAAATTGTATTGCTACTGAATTGAAAAGAGATAAAAATACACGGGGCTTCTGTGAAAACCCATATTAGGATTACAAAACTGGACAGGTCGTTAAACCGAATGATGAGATACTGATGATTTAAGAGTGAACGGTTCGAATGGTCTCTTCTCTAATCATACTAACTAATCTCTATACTTCAGGAGATCATGTTCACACTAACAGTGTTATACATATGTGCATCCGCGCGCGCGCGCGCGCACGCTCATCCAGGATATAGTATAGTGTCTAACCTTTCCTTGGTGAACCTCGTAGACGAGTCCATCATAACCCCCACTAGTTTTTCCACTTTTGTCGACAAAAGCACTAAACTCGTAGGAAATATTGTAATTTGAACGCCGAAGGTAAGCTATTGTAGCCAAGAAAACGTCAATTGAATAGCCAGTAACATTCAAGAGCTGAGTCTTGTTGAAAGGATTCAGTTGTGCATCCACAAACTGGATGAAGCTTGGTTTCTTAGGGACACCAATTATCAACTTCTTCCCTCCAAGGAGTGACCCTGCATCATCGCTTGCTCCAATCTCAGCTGTTAACAAGACAGCAAAAGAAATCATTATAAGGTAAGCATGGCAATAGAAATTTAGGCTGGCCATCTCGTATAAGTTACGTGAGCAAGAAAAATGAAGAAATTGAGAAGCAAGTTGGCTCTATATGGTCTGAGTTTGTGCAGCTTTATATATTCCTTTATTTATATGATGAACTAGCACGCTTCTGTGATGGTGACTTGTATTTGGCCATTTGCTATGGGATGTTAATTCGTTAGTTACAACGGATTTGAATCCATGGCTCTCTGGTCCCAAAAAAAAGGGAATAATATCGATGACTTGAGTCTTGATATAGCTAGCTTCAATCTTCAAGTCTGAGCCCATGATCGGTTGATTGCGAGTCTTCAAAGTTATTTGCTCTAGTGGTTAGTTATATATGAGACTGACTTGTTCGCAGTTTATGAGTCTTGTCAAGTTACAATAATGCTTTTCAAAGAAAGAGCTTCATTATGCAATTATATATGGAATCACTGAAATGGACAAACCTTTGGCTTGACTCGACCTATGCAAATTTCCAACTTCGCCGAAGAGGTGAACAAATATATAACACTGATTTTTATGTTTTACATGAAATTTTGAAGGGGAAAAAAAAAACAGAAACTCACAATATATAATTTATGAATTGTGGACCTTGATAGATTTTTTTTCTTACCAACAACTTATTAGAGTTCTATATATTATATATAAATTAAAATTATTTAATACTATTTTTTATTAACGTATTATTTATTTTCTATTAATATTTGAATCCTTGACTGTTGGGCCCAAAAAAAAAAAAAGAAAGAAATCTTGACTTCAGAGCCAGCTTTGATCAAGTCTATGCTCTCTTTGGTTTATTCAAGTCTCATATTTAATTTACACGCGGTCTCCCTGAAACCTGAATACCGCAGGATTCCCAGAAATTTCGAGGAAGACCATATATTGCTTTAAAGATTCATTCGGCTCCGGAATACTCATTTTTAAATAAAAATTAAATTGTATGAAATTCATTTCAATTATTTAATTATTTATTGTTAAATAAAAATCTTGAAATAATAGTTATATGTTTTATTTTATTATTTTATTTTTTAATTAAACTATTAAAATTTAAAAGTTCTTTAAATGTAATAAGAGCGAAGCCACAAAATGCACTGACTAGAGTTTTGACTATTCAATTAAGTATATTTTGAATATCCCTTCAGAATGTGACATTAAACCAAATCCGCTGGACCCAATAAAAAAGTCCGAAGCATGAATATTTTTTTGATGTAACGAAGCATGAATTCAAGTTTTTTGTGAGAAGAATCATTGACCTCAACCAAAAGCAAGAGTGTCAGGGCAGATAATTACCTATTAGATTAGTCGAATCAATGTCATATACTACTTCTGATTCTTGATACAATAACTGGTTAAAGAATTTAAATAGATTAAGAAAATTTATTAAGTTAATTATTTATAATAAATATGTGTTGTCTTCCGTTAAATACTCTTGCTAATAATATGTATTAACTAAAACTACTATTTAATGAAATATTTAACATGTGCAATTACTATAAAAATTACCTTAAAAAAATAAATATAAGAGACAAAATAGATTAGGATCTTATATTACGTATTTGATTTTTAAAATAATTTCACAACATAAAAGAGAAGTCATTGAAAACAAAATTGTGTGTAAGGGTATGAAATTTAAAAAGAAGTTACAATACTAAAAATATAAACCAATATGTTAATTTCATTTAAAATGGAATAAATTATGGAAAAATACTTAAAAATGAACTTTTGAAAAAAAAATTCTTATTTTTTCCGTTATTTGTTCCCCTCCCTTTGGCTATCGGATTTTGCTATGGTATGATTTAATTTTTACCATGTTAATTAATCTATTCCCCACCCCCACGCGCACGACTCTGATATCGCGGGCCCTGTATTAGAAAAAATAAATAAAAGATCATTAATTTCAATGGACAAGACAACTAGATAGTAATAAGTGCTTGATGAAAAAGGAATGTAATTACAATGTCTTAATGATTAATTAAAACGATCAACCCCTAGAAATTCATGAATGTTGTTTAGTTTGACGAAGGGGGTAAACGTATAACTATAAGTCTTTGTTTTTTTATTTTTGGGTCAATAGTACCTCTTATCCTTAATAAAAAAATCAATTGACTAATTTAAATAGATTAACAAAATAAGTTAAATTAGCTATTTATAATAAATAAGTATTGTCTTTCTTAAAATATTCTTACTAATTAAATGTATTGACTAGAATTACTATTATTAAAAGGATTACCTTAAAAAAATGCATAAATATAAGAGATGAAGTAAATTAGGGTTTTATATTTATAACCAAAATAAAATTCAAACGAGGTCTTATATTAAATATTGGAGGTAATATTATTTTAAGTCATTAATGACCCCATTTTTTTTTCATACATTAATAGTTTGATATTTGATGTATTTCTATTTTATAATATATTTTTATGTATAACTAAGGGATTTTATAATGTTTGAAGGGTTTAAAATATAATAGATACTCATATTTTGATTTAAGGAAATTGTATGAATTAATTTCTTAAAAGTGCATTTTTTATTATATTTTTATAATTCCCCTTTTGAAATGTATCTCTACTTTGATTCCAAGGAATATTTTATCAAGCAAAACATGGACCCCTTGGAAAACTACATTTGTGGCAGCCATGTGACATTACAAGAGGATTTTCTCATTATCTAAGTGAAAATTATCCAAAATATCTAGCCAGAATATCTCTTATCTTCCACCATAAATTAAAGAGTTTGAATAATTAATTTCTTTTGTGGATAATTCCCTTATTTTGAATTTGAATAAATATTTTATTCATATTCCATTATCCATTTAATTTTCCAAATATCCACATTATCATTTTTATCCTCTTTCTAAACCCTAACCCTAATTCATCCTACCACCATATCTTTATTCAAATTTGAGATATTATCCCTTTATCCAATATCATTTAAATTCAAAAGCTCTTTTACTATGGTTGCCATGAAGATCACACCAAATCAAGAGAATTCAAATTCAAAGTTCTATCAAGATTACAAGATAAAAAGAAGATAAAAGATCAAGTTAGAAGACTTAAGGGTTTCCTCATCCAACTAGGACAAATTCGAAAGCTATAAAAAGAGATCAAGGGAGCTATGGAGAAGCAACGAAGGCATCTACACTACACAAGCACAAGCATATACTTGGCTTCTTCTTGTGTCCAGTTGTTTCATTGTCTTCTTTTCATTATTTTCTTTTTACCATTATGGTGTCATCTAGCCATATGTGTGGCTAGTCCTCTTTGTTTCTGAGGATAAGGTGATGTGGCTTGAGTTTCTGTTTATATTAGAGAGTTTGATAGTTTTCTTATTTCAATCCATTAGTACGTTGCGTTTATGAATTTCCAAGGTTAGGATTTTTATTTCTTTTGTGGACTGATATTTGATTTGTGTTTTAGTTAAACAATTATGTTTTGAAGTTTTCAATAAATATATTTTTAGTTTCCTCATGACTCTATGAGTGTTTATCTTTATATATTTATATTTTGATTTGCATAAGTAGTTCGTGCTCTAAGGTTCTCGATAGATCACTCTTTTTAAGGAACAAGATATAATTGTTTAATTGAATTCACAAGCTAAGTGGTTTTTAAATGATTAATTGAAAGGTGATTATATACTAGTTCTCTAGGTATAATTATTAATTAATTAATCATGACTTAGATGTTATCTAGGGTTTTTCCTTTTGACTTAGTAATTGTTTTTATACAAACTCCTCATCCCTTTGAACCGTGATAGCTACTCATCAACGTCTTTGGGAAGTACATCATTTTGGTAAAGTCTTTGTTTCTTTTGTTTTCTTTTACTTACTGTTATTTTTTTTCTCAATTTATTTTCTTAAAAAATCAATCAATTTTATTTCCTACTCCTTCTTTCTCTACATCATGTTTTTCTTAGTTAAAAAAGTTTTCAAAATTTTAATAAAGCTCCTTATAGAAAGAAACGACCTAGGTTGATTTCTATACTATATAGGATTAATTTAGTTAAGTAATTTGAAAACTTACATGACAGGACGATCAATATTATAAATGGGATGTAACCTTTAACCCCTCGTTCACAAGAAATTTTTTAAGGTCACTGTCTTGCAAAACTATTAATGCCATATGGTTAAGTATTCAAATCAAACTCTGATTTAACGTTGATCAATTACCCGAAAGTTACTCCAATATTTCTAAAACAGGATGTTAATCTCAAAGTAGTGCGAGAGACTAATTGCTAATAGTGGATGCTATCAAATTGGACAAAATTCACCTAAGCAACATATACTAATAAAACATGATAACGTGCAAATTCTAGGCATTCTCATTAATATATATTATAATTTTCTTTTGCTACCGATATATAGCATAAAATTTTTAACGAAATGTATTATTAATAAATTATGAAAAATTATAATAAAAATATACCCTCATCCACGTGTAATAAAAATGCATTTTAGTTCATATTTTCTTTTGGGCTTTGTCAGATTTTCGTTTGTCATATTCACTATTTGGGCCAACCTTTCATCCCCCAGCCCACGAACTCATGGTTTTGTGCTATGTGTTACTTATTGATAAGTTGTATGAGCCCATTACTTTTCCGGCCTAACGTCAGAGCGTATTAAATCATGTCTGCTTGAACTTGAATGATCTAGTTTACCACAAAAAAAAAGGTTCTAAAAATAATTTTTTTATATTTATCAAAACAAGGGAAAAATTAATGGAATGCTATACCAGAATAATTTAATTCGAAATTTTAGCACATACCAGAATAAAATATTATGATAGCATATGACGTTGTTTCTCTCTCCCAAACTTCAGAAAAGATTTATGGTAATTTTAGAATATTACAAAAATTTCATCGTTAATTTATTTACCCACAACAGAATTAGTTTTTTCTTATAATGTTTTCAAAAGAGTTAAAATTATTTAATTAAATTTAATACCATGTAAAATAAAATCCGCAAAGCCCTAATTAAACTCTCACGGCGATTGAATCTTATATCCAGTTGGAAA